TCCTTATGTCTACCCCTAATAATAATAATAATAATAATAATAATAATAGAAATTATTGAAGATAAAATCCCTGTGAAGCCATCTACAAATGTAATGCACAATAAGTTTTTGGCCTTTCTTAAGAAAAAAAAAAAAAGGAACGAGAGCGCATTTTTGTAGTTTACTGACAAAATTTAAACAATCTTTCAGGTACAGGGTAATCACCACATAATGTAATTTATCTACACAAGACTCATTTTAAGCTAAAGAATTAAGAAAATGTTGGAAACGTTCCTCAGTGATTTTGGTTCATACTGATATGTAAAGGTTTTTTTTTTAAATATTGATGTTTTAATATGAAGACATCTTAATTTTAAACACAGCAATATAGTTCAGACATGAGTGTCTCCCTAAACGTCTTCTCACTTTGAATTAAACTCACTAGATTTTAAAAGTAGATTTTTGCCAGCGTCTCTACAGAATGGGTTTGAGAAAAACAGTAAATGACTTTCAGGCTCAGGGTCTCAAACAGTAACGATGTTATTATTAAAAGTGTATTGTGWGTGAGAAACACCACTGCCGTAAACAAAACCTGTGGACTTACATGCAGCACTGTTTCTTTGTGTTGGGGCCTCCGAATTTGGGTTTATCCAGGCAGTTCATACACTCTGCACAGTCTTCTTCTACCAGGCAGCCTGTACAGATTCCACAGCGCCGGGAACGCACCCCTCTGCCCAGAATCTTCCTTCTTTTGAACTTGCGYCCCCTCCCCCACCTCCTGCGCTGGACACGTTTCTGAGGGACAACCAACTGGGCCCCGCCCTGACCACAGACGTCATCGTCGTCGTCGTCGCCATCGTCATTGTCGTCGTCTTCGTCGTCGTCATCAGCAACATCTGCAGGCGAGACAGAGCGCGGATGGGTAAAAGGGGTGATACACCTTTAAATCCGTATTGTGCACATGTGATGAGGTGGCGACATCTTTGAATGTCAGAGCTTATTCCTCAGTCTGCTGGAGATGTTAAAAGTCTAAATGCTGTGACTGCAGGTCCATCATATGAATTTATAGGTCTCCCTCCAAATTAGTAAGTTTGGGTCATGCAGCTGCATTAATAAAGGCTGCCTGTAGGAAAAAAAACAACCTAAAATGAGCTTCCCACAAAGTCCATTACTGCTGGAAACTTTAACATTTTTCATATTTAATGACAACCTCATGTTCCCCTATGTGCCTCTGTTACTTCAGACATTAAAAATTGTGTTTTTTTAGTTTGTAATTGAATGAATAATGCATCTAGGATAATCTTGTGAAGGGATTACTTTTTGCTCTTGATGTGTTCAGTGAATCTATTTGTCAAGCAGTACTTCCTCACCTCTTACTGAGTGATGCTCACTCGACCAGTGTTGGGTATAGCTTTCCAACAGCGGTGGCTAATCTGTGTGTGACAAAAGATAATTTTTTGCTGGAAAATATTTTATTTACATTGAGCTATCAAAGCAAATTTCTTCCAATTTTTGCTTAGCATATTAACTTGGCCAAAAAGCTAACAAAACTGTGCTTTTACACTTTTTTCTCTCTATATTTTATGTGGTGCATCGACTACTTCAGAAATTTGTTAGTGCTTTATTTTAACACAGTCAAAGTGGCTTTCCCAAACAAAATAAAATACATCTGGGGGATGATAATGAAGCATTGGAGGTGAACTACATCAAAAGACAGGTCAAACTACTTGAGGGAGGTTACATGCAGTATGAAATTCATCTATGTTGTTATGAGCTCGACTTTCTGGGGTTCTTATAACTTATTCTATAAATGGAAAAGCTAATAACTTTTTGGAAGTAGGGTGAACAATATAGTGAGTATATCCAATATATTACGAGTTCTCTCTCATGCAGTATCAAATATTATTATGCGACAAAAACCATATAAATTTTAGCACCTAATTTACAAGGAGTTTAGCTTTTCCCAGGTGCTTCGAATGCATCACAACTCACTCCCCTCCCATCCAGTCCCCACTGGTGATGGTTTCTGTTATATTTTTAAAGTTTGCCTTTTTTAAAAAACCAGTGAAGGAACAGTTTGTTTTTGACAGAATATATGAACATTCCTGTAAAAATGGTCAGGTAAAGGAAAATGAATAAAAAAGGCAACCAAAGGTCAAAGAAACTTTAAAGGAACTTCAGAAAGACTTAAAAAATACAAACTAAGACCACTTTTGTCTTGGTCGACAGATTTTTAACACATTACCTAACCTCACTGTGGTGGATTCAAAAAGTTAAAACTTAGGGCTCAAAAACATTTTTTTCACCCAAAATAGTTTTGTTTACAAAATCTGAGTAATACGTTTTGACAAAATATACTTTAAAAAATCAGATAGGGTAAAATATATAATAAAAAGGCCTGGAAACTGAAATCAGCTCTAATCAAATGAAAAAATAAACAATTTATTCAAAAAAAAAAATCTGTGGTATTGATAAATTTATATTTCTTGCTATGTATGATCTGCGAACTAACACAGAAGCTAAATTTWAGCCTGTTTTAATTGAGCTGATTTAGTATTTGAGCTATTTTGTCAAATTTCTTAAACTTCATTACTGATGAATATGAATAAAAYATTATTCTGCAACATATATAAGGTTGAAACAGATAGACTGAAATACGATTCAGCTCATTAGTTGTTTATTTATTTTTTGGTAGAAAAATTTGATAAATTCTCATGGATACTAAACAATGAAAGATTGGACAACACAATTCACTAAAGCAGTTTATAACAAAGGTTTCACACAAAATCCCCAAATAAAATGAACAAAACAAAACCAGAGAAACATTTTCTCTTCTAAAATGAGCCCATCTTGTGATTTCTCTTTTCTGCTAATTTTAAGTCAGATTTTTTACATTTTAATCAGATATCACCCAGGAATAATTAATACAATAATAAATAAGCACATTGTTRACTTCAGTTAATGATTTAACAACAATCAATAATGACTGCARTATCCCCCTTAGAGTATATACTTGTACACTTTGCTGTAATTTTTAACTTGCAAAATAAGTTTAAAGAAAATACACAACTGAAAAAAATACATATGGAAGTATTTGGGACACTTTAAAATTRCATAACAGATAAGAGTTTTCAATTTTGAACAAATTACTTGTGTAAAAATTTATATTAAAAAAACTATATTCAACATTTATCCTGATCTAAAAAGAAAAGCACAGGGGTAGGAATGTACCTTCTGCTGCGGGGGAAAAGGTGATGCCCTCCCTCTCGTGAAGCGGCAGAGCGCTGAGTCTGGGAATATCATCCGGCACCATGGCCCGAGGCTGGCCCAAAGCCACCGCTGCTGCCCGACACACGTGTTTGATCCTCGGGCCTCCGAGTGGCTGCTCCTRCAAACAAATTAAAAATTAGGACAAGTCTGGAAATAACTGGGTCAAAATAAAGGACATAAATAAATTAACCTTTWAGTTAAAGTATTGTTATTGTGATAAAAGCTAATTTCAACTCACAGTAAAGCTGTAAAAAGTACAAAACATTTTGTAACGACAGCAAGAAAAATCTATTTCTTTCCATTACTCTCAATCTGCCTTTATTGGTTGATTATATAAGTTACTTATTTTAATAGTAATTTACAAGAAACAGACAAGCTGTCTTTATTAGAGCAAAAACACAACTAGTTTCAACAAAATAAATCAATTTAACATTTAAACTGATTACAAACTAGCTTAAATTTTTAAAGAATTACCTGTGGAGGAATTTCTTTGGGAGACAGCCCAACCCTTCTCCTCTTCCTCCTCCTCCTTCCAGTCACCGGTACCTGTGATTCTCCTAGGCCCAACTTTTAATCGAAACAGGGAGAGAAAAGCATGCGTTTTTGTATGAGATGCAAAAAATTTATACACGCCAATACAATCATGTAAAAATTAGAAGGCAAAACAAAAGGGCGCGTAAGCAGATTGTCTTTTATGTGATATCTAATCAAGTCATTTTGTTTGTTCAGCAGTCCAAAATAAGATATTCACACTTTAACAGAAAGAAAAAATATATAAAGCCTTTGAACATAAATAGAGTAAATTATGCTTATTCAATYATTCTTTACTATATTTTATAAACATTTTTTATGGCAAAGAAATGGTCTCTTACCTGTGACAGCTTGAGCTGCTTCTGCTGATCGATCTTTATAAGCTGCACTTTGGCTTTCTTCAGCAGGTGGAGCATCCTCCTATTAGCACCACTGAGACCAATCCGATGGCTRGGACCACCAGTTTCCAGCACCTCACTTCCTGCCTCTTTTATGCTTGTTGTTTCATCTGCATCAAATGATACAAAAAAGCCTCTTTTAATTMGCTTAAAGCCTCATTACTGACTGCCAATTTCTGACAAGTATTCCCGGAAGTGGTAAAAAGCTGGCAAACAACTTGTAAGCGCGTTGTTAATATTTTTTAAAAAGAAAAGTAAGTTRTACTTACTGTTGTTGCCCACATCTTCTGATGGGATTTGCTTAGGAGACTCCACATCTGCCTGCACCACCACAGCCACTTTCCTCACAACCCCAGGAGAGTCCAGCTCTTCCATCATGATTTTTGGTCTCCGTCTCTTCCTCACGTGAGGTATCAAATCATCGCTCTGATGTGTGTAATCCTCTTGATTAAAACCCTGGCTTCTCTTTTTCTCTGCTAGCTTTAAGGTCAGCTTCTTTAAGTTCTTGTAGATCTCTATGTGACTCGCRCCTGGACTGGGTTTCGATGAGATTCTTGACACACCAGACGACCCATCGAGCCCAGGCGTGGTGTCCCTGTCCACTGGCTGTGAGACGCTGTCATAATCTGACTCTTGAAGTGGTTTGCCTTCGTCTTTCTGCTGACTTTTCAGCCACGTCGACAGAGAGCCCTTTGGAAAGGGGATAATTTCTTCATTCAGGAATCTCTTTGGAGTTTTAATAGTGCGGGAAGACCGCCCGCTTGTTACCGTTGAAAAGGAATTGTTGGAGCTCTGGTCTACTTGCTCCAAACTGGACCTTGTATTTGATTGGGTGACATTCTGACCTTGCAGCTCATTACTTACTACAGGTAGTGGCTCAGGTACATAGGCGTAAAAAACCCGCCGAGCACGGACCTTTTTGATTTTGGGGCGGTTATTATCTGGAATGACTGCAGATGGCTTTCGCCTGTACCCAAACAAAAACTTTCCTCTGCGTTTTCTCCGCACCCCCTTTAACGAACCCTTTCCAGCTTTTTGCTCGAGTGTCACTGCTGGCTCTTCGCCACTCGGGGCACCAGCTTCTGCTCCAGCCTCAGGAGAAACACCCACACCTTGAACCTTTCTCCTCCTCCGACGTTTATGAAAAGATTTACAGGACAGGGCCACTGCACTTTCTGAAGATGCTGCTTCTTCTGCTTTGTAAGTTTTATCAGCTATGCTATGTTGTCCATCTGAGGTCTGCTTATCTTGTTTGGCTTTCAAACAGGGAGCCTCCTGCTTGTTGTGAATTTCTTTGTCTTTAACTGGGCTGAGGCTCTCTTTCACATCTCCTTCCTTTGCAATCCTTGGTACAATTTTCCCAATGAGAGCCTGTTTTTGATTCTTTGGGATAATTTTTCCAATAAGAGCTTTTGCTTCTGGTGACGGTTCTGAAGCTTTTGGAGACTTGGCTTCCCTGACGGATGACTGAGGAACAGCGGCTGAAGATTTTTGTGAACAAGCTCTTGAGGTTCCAAATCCAGGAAAATCTTCCTCCTAGAAACAAAAAAGAGCAGTCCTTACGTCAGTATAAGGAAATACTTAAAACAATAATGTTTAGTTTATTAGTCTCCAATGAGGAAATTCCTTCTCTGCATTTTTCTCATCACGTTGGAGCAAAAAGCTTTAGGAGCAACAGGAGGAGGATTAAGGGCCTAGCTCAAAGGGATCCCAATAGGGCAAATATGGAGTATGTGGGTGCTTCATATTTTTCACCCACATTTTATGTGCCAGTCTGGTGATACAAACCTGCAACCTCCAGATTAGCGGCGGGATGAAGACAAAACAAATTCCGAAACAAACCACGTTACACGAAAACTTGASAAGTGGCGTGACATTACTAAGAAGCGGTCTCTCGTTAACCTGACCGGACTTTTTGCTGTAACTTGTAAAAATATAAGGTTAATGTCAAGGCGGTGTAACCGAACAAGTCTGTTTTACACACAGACTTTATATGGCCATTGCATAGTGCAACATTCAATGAGTTGATTTGATGTTTTTAAAAAACAAATAAGTCTTTGTTATGCTTCTCCGTATCTTTTCTGTCATACTACATTTGCACAGCTGAGTCTTTTTTGTTATGCAGGAAAGAGAATGAATTACTTTTATTCAAAGAAAGTTATTATTTAATACACCAAGACTGCCCTAAGTGGACCCAATGTTTCGAATCTTTCTTATTTGACTTTAGGAAACAAAGCAGACTCGTAAGCGCTTCACTAGGTGTATGATACATTACTGACATGACCGTTTTAAAACCGTCTGCACAATGTATGAGACTGTAGTTGAAACTAAACATGAGTCACTGCTTTTCATGATTTGATTTTCATGTTTTTGCCCAGCAGAAACTTTGGTGCCGCATCAGCAGCACAGCTCTCTTCTCTTACACTAGCATTGCATCAGCGCAGTTCTGACACTGCAAAGAAAAAGGTGTTCATGTTCCATCCGTGACTAAGCTATAAAATAATGAGTTCACGCTTTTCCCCTCTTTACACATGCCCAAACATATAAATAATCCACATTTCAGATCGTTTTTTTCCGGCACTCAATGAGCAAAAGGAGGGAAAAAAATAACCACAACTTTACTCATAATAAACAAACTGAACGTAACAAATACATGTATTTTAAATAGAACTTAAAAAAACCATTAAATCTCTGGAATTCAATAATTCAGGCACCTCTGCATCTAATATTTAAATAATGCTTTCTATACTCAGCTCAAAAGCATACCTCAGTTACTTACATTCATCTCTCCACAGGTAGATCACCAGTGAAACCACTTGAACAGCATATATTCCACACCWCTGAAGAACACTGAAGTATTATACGTGTTGCACTCAAGTTGAGCAGCATCCACAAGATTTATAATGAACTACGTGACTGTTACAGTCCCCTCTACAGAGATTGCATCAGTTAAGACTTTGCAGGCAACAGATGGCATTAGATCCAATAAAGCAACATGTTTTTTATTATAAACAAAATTTGTGAATGGCTGCCAACTTCCACCTACTTATTGTTATCTATGGAAACTCAAGTGCTTTGTTTATACTGAGTGCATACCCACATTTTTGAATAGTATATCAACTCTAAAATGTAGTTTACACTTTCAAACTGCATAATTATACATAGCTTCGAATAACACTGTTATTTTCTAGTTCGCAATGAGTGCCTTTAAATTGCTGTCACGTAGCTGCAGGTAAATGGGATCCCTGTATACACTTTGCATTTTGTCTTAAAAATACCCTTCAAAATACTTGCTGCAGTTATGACTGAGGTAAAAGCTAGCAGGCCATGTTGACTGTAACATCACTAAAATAAATTAGAACAGGATGTAAAAACTGCAGCCCATAGCACACAAAACTTATTTTCATTTATTTTACATGCAGAAACTCTGATCATACATTTACTTACATTTTTAAAAGCTTTGATTATAACCTTCAATATTACCTTGCAGGATGTGCTTATTTGTCTTTCAAACAAGGCAGCTGTAATGCATGATGGTTGAATGTTATTACGTTKATTAGACGTTTAACTTCCCCGCTGTTGCTTCCTACGTTCAGCTGACGTTAAAACACACCGAGCAGTCAGCTGACAGAGCAGCTCCAACGTGGAGAGTGTGATCCAACACTCCGCAGCAGCAACGTTTTAAAACAAAAACTGAGCCAGAAGAAGTTGTTAGAACTGGATGGGAACTTTAGCTAACCTTAACACACCTGAGGGGGCGGTGAGGGGGGTTGAACAAAGCATGGTTTCCACAACAAAACACGAGTGTGCCATCATACCGCCAAAGTTTCCGCCTTTAAATATCTGCTTTTCAAGCTCACCTGGAGAGACATTATGAACAGCTGCATCGATTCTATGTGTTGCACAACAACGCTRTCATGAATATCTGCATAAATAATCAGGATAAAACTGCTTCAAATCCTCTCTGGAGGCTTTTCCTGCAGGCAAACAATGCCCGTGTTGGGTTTGTGTTTGCAGCAAATTAGCAACACATCAGCTAACATGTTATTCACAAGTGATTAAACGCTGTTTTTTTAATCAGTCTTTCAAACATATTGCCTCCATTCGTCACGGTTTCCAGCTAATTAACTCACCCCATCACTGCTGCTGGAATAGAACCCCGCATCCTTCTGGCGACTATACTTCTCCGCCACCCCGAGCAGGGGCAGCAGGGACGGATCTTCGCTTAACGCAAGGCCGATGTTGACGGGCCTTGGCCCTTCCGCAGGTAGCTCGAGTTCGGCCRAGCCCAACCTTCCGCGTCTGGTCCGTTTCTCCGACCGAAACCTGAAGCGAGCCGCGCACGGACGGCCTGGGAAGCGAGCCCGGGCCGGTAGACAGTAGGTACCCGGGCCCGCGGTSGTAGAAGGAGAAGATAATCCGCCTCCCGAGGCCGCCATTATTTACTACAACAGTGCGCGGGCAGAGGATCACTGCAGCGATGCGCGAGCCAAGATGGTCTATTCCGAGGCAAAGGCGCGAGATAGGAGCGAGCACCGGTGCATCATGGGAGAAATGAACTACAGCGCTTAATGTGGGCGATTTTGTTTGTTGTGCTGATTGTGTTTCGATTTCAGACGTAAATTTTAAAATAATCTTTATAAAAACRGAAACTGATAGTGTTCAGGCCACATTTAAACGTTTATCAGACCCCCAGTATACCCTTATGTAGAAATAATTTAGTAAAATCCGGCATGAATTTATATATATTATGCACATTTTGAACAAAATATACAAAATAARGTATCCAAACTAAACCTACAGAAGTGGTTATGTCTGAAATTTGTAATAAGGTATCAGCTAACTTAAGCTTTTATTTACCCAAATCTAAGGAGATTTTTAAATCGTACTGCTTTTGTTGAGCAAAAACTAAACATATCAAATTGTTTGCCATTATAATTCCAAAGTTACAAGTTGATTTTAAGTTTACCAGTTAGGATTAAATAAAACAAAATATTTGTTGTCTTACTTTGCTYATCTCCTAGAATGACTAAGAATTAGCCATTAACTTCATGCTTAATTTTACGGTCATAATCTTTCTTAAAATCAAGTTCTACAAAGTCTATTATGACAACAATATACAGTAAAACACATCTATYGTGTTACTGAAGGTTTCTGTCTTGTTTTCATGAACAAATATGTAATATGACATTTCCACTTTTCACAGAAAGTGAATTTTAAAAAAAAACACACCAATGAACCCATTGATACAACTGGTGCATATAAGTACACATAAGTACATAYAGATGTACTTCCAGGAGGCCTTGCAGGATTCTATACAATGAGTTGCTTAACATACTTAGAAACATTTTTCATATACTTTATTGAAGAAAAAAACACCATGGTAGAAGAAACAAAACATTCACACACTTAAGGATGAACTTAACTTACTAATTTACAATCCATCTAAAACTAAATGYGATGTAGTGACAGCACAAAAGCCTTTATGATATGGTCTAATAAAGATTATTTATTTATATTTCCAGTTAAGAGTAAAAGAACTCTTAATGAAAATCATACACACAAATGATGTAGGACAATGTCACATATATTATCTCACATCTGCAACCTTTTCACCSTTTTTATGGGAAGCCTGATGAGATTTTAGGCTACGTTCTCTTGCAAAGCTTTTCCCACATGTGGGGCAGGTGTATTCTGAGCTGGGAGCTTTGTGAAGGATGGGGCTGTGTTTGTCTTGCTTGTGTGCCCTCAGGGCTTCAACGGAGGGAAAGGTGCAATCACAATCTGGTTTAGGACAGGGAATGTTGAGCTCGGCAGAGGCGGATTGCTCAATGAGTTGTTTTGCTCCGGCCTCTTGCTCGATCTTCCCCGATGCACGTTTGCGTTTAGAGACACGTTTTTTGCGCCGAGGCTTAAGACCACAGTTCTGGTCACTAGCGAACATCTCCTGGTGCTGCAGAAGCTCTTCTTCGGTCTGAAAACCACAACTACATTTGCAGCATCGGAAGGTGTTGATGTCTTTAGCGCCGCCTGCGTTGCCGCGGTGCACTGTTTTGCGATGGAGCTGAAGCCGAAGGCCAGTGAGGAACAAAACACCGCAGTCCTTGCAGGCATGTTTTCGCTCTTTGCACTTAAATCGTCTGTGTGTGCTTAGCTGCAAGATAATAAACAATTATTATAGTAAATAAAATAGATAATTTATTTTACAAAAAAACAACCTCTAGCCAAGTGTCTTCACCTGAGATAACATGCTGAACCTTTTCTGGCACTCTTTGCAGAAGAAGGGTGTTTTATCTGTGTTATGTGTCACTTGGTGCTGATTGAGCTCTTCAGATGAGTTGAAAGACTTGTCACACTTGTAGCAAGTAAACAGTGTATTAGTCTGAAAAATAAAATAAATATTCAAAATGTAATTTCACTGATGTAAGTGAAGGATGCAACCTCACAGGCTTAAAAATAGTACGATACTGGAAATAACATTTAATAACAAAATACTGGACAATTATTGCCACTTCACACATATTGGACAGTTTGTTTCCTTGTACCTGCTGCAGGAGTTGTGYGTAGTGGTCGCGGTGATGCTTCTTCAAGTGTCTCTCTTTGGCTTTAGGGTCACTGAAGGTGATGAAGCACGGAAAACACTGCAGACTCTCATCACCATCTGAATCGCAACAAGATTACAAGTTTATTAATCAAAGGTGTGTTTTAGAGCAGTGATTCCCAAAGTTCGGGTCGGGACCCACAGTGGGGTCCTAAAACATCAAGGTGGGGTCCTGAAAATATTTTATGAATTAATTACACTAAAAAATGACAACTAAGCACATTTTATTGCCTTTGTTGTTATAAAATAGTAAGATTAGTGTATTTAAAATAGGCAAAAGTAGCATAATAAATAATGTAACTATGCGCTTGTTTGTTTGACGTGAAAACAATGTTTATCAACTGACATCAGCTACAGGTCCTGGTCTCTGCTGTTCGTATTTTGTGGGTCAAAAGCTGAAAAGTTTGGGAACCACTGTTTTAGAGGAATGACAATGTGCAAATAAAACAAGGCTTTCAGTCTTACGTGGCTGAATTGGGAAGTCCACATGCCCAGGGTTCACCTCATTAGACAAGGGGGTCTTCATTTCCTCTCCAACAATAACTTGCTGGATCTTTTCCAGTTCCATACTCATGTTTCCACACACAGCCGATCCGAACGCAGCTGCAACTTTAAATACAAGAAGAAGAATCATGTCTTCTTAGCAGATTCTGTTATTTGTCAACGCATATGCATCCATCAACCTCYACGTTCAAAGCAAAGGTATCCAAGGTTTTACTGAGTCTTTGCGTTAATATAAAATTATTATATGAAACAAACCCGCTAATAATAGCCATGAACCATCCCATGGTTATGGATGGTGTTGGTTAGCATCGGAGCTAACCAGCAATTATTGCATCATTTTATAAGTTATTTAAATAAACCTATATTCATGCAATAAATGCATGTTTCGGAACCACATTTTTGTACGTACTTAAGGTTAATTCTGAGTCTTAGTAAAGATTGGATGAGTTTCGTACCGTTCACTAAAGCGTCCATCGAAGCCTTTAGCCTATCATGTCACGTGACGTGAGGAGGAAGCCATCGCGAGTTTTCAAGACGAGATCTCAGTTTAGATGGGATTTCCTTCSAGTTTTTCATTGAATTACACATAAATCTTTGAATTTTGACAATTTCACTGTGCAGCAACTCTCTTAGCCGGAGTACCCAAAACCTATGTGTGCACGAGCATAATATGCAAACTCAATAAAATAAACTATTAAGTTTAAACTTAAGACACATTATGATCATTTGTTTTATTACAAGTTTTTTTTATCTTTATTTACATAATCAGGGAAATCCCACAGATAGATCACAGACTAACATGCATGTTTTTGAACTGTGGCAGAAAACCCTCTTTTTTATGTACAATAGTTAAAAGAAAATGAATTGAAACACATTTGTTGTCATAAAACTTTAATGATACTTTTATCCAACAAGGTAGAGACAGCACTCAAAGCTTGACGAGAAGGTGACCAGGTGTCATATTATTCTTTGCTTAAATAATTTCTGAAGGACAGAAGCTCAAAGCTAAAGGCTTATATAAGGATGATGAAGACTTCAAGAAGAAGTTGAAATAGGCTTCATTTAAGCCCTGGCTTGCTGCTGCTGCTGGTATTCAGYAATTCGATTTTCCATCAAAGGTCTGAAGTGTCTGATCAATCCCTTAAAACACATAAAAAAGAATCATTTAAGTATGCAATCCAGTTTATTTCATTTCATGTTTCATGTAATTAATTTATTTAAAAAGATAATGCACTTTAATAAATATCTGTGGCGAATCAGCACAACACTTTATTTGTTGACCTATATAATATAGAAGCTCAAAATACACAGAACTAGAAATTATGTGGATTTTGTTAGTTGGGATTTAGTGACATTTAGTGGTAAAGTTGCAAATTACAAGAAGTATCAGACTTTGAGACAAGACTTGGGTATGAGCAACTCTAAGACTATCCGAAAGTTTTCTTGTTGGAAAGGAAATTAAAGAAGGAAGTGTCCCACACTCCATTTCTTCATTTCATTTAATAATTTTAAATTAAAAAAAATAAAGTTCTTCACAAAAACAAAATATAATGCTTAGAGCTATTTTTCTCTGAGCTAAACAATTGCTACAAAAATAAAATGAGGAAACTCTAGAGTTCAAATTCCAATTAAATCAATAAGATGTTTGCAGTATTTACCAGTAATTACTCAAATGAAGCACGTGGTATTACCTGTACGGGCCATGCAGCACCATCACCCAGAGCACAGATGGTGTGTCCCTCAACCTGCTTACTGATCTCCCAAATCATGTCGATCTCTGATGGCTGAGCATCACCATGAACGAAACGCCACATCATCTTATTCATCCAGTCTACTCCTGCAGAAAACAAACACATTTTTTGTATTTAGTCAAATGCAGAACAAATACATTAAGTAAAACGAATGACAGTGATGCTATGGCAGTATTTACCCTCTCTGCATGGCGTGCACTGGCCACAACTCTCGTGCTTGTAGAACTCCAACAGGCGGGCGATGGCTTTGATAACATCGGTCTGCAAAAAGAGACCCATTCATCGATGTGACAGATGTTTGCCAGCGTCTTTACGTGAGCTGAAATACGCTGCAGAGGTGACACACTCACAGATTTGTCCATGACAATAAGAGCAGCTGTGCCGAGCGCAGTTTGAGCTTGGATGAGGCCATCAAAGTCCATCAGCACCTCTTCACACACGCTCTTAGGGATGAGGGGAGTTGAGGATCCTCCGGGGATTACCGCCAACAGGTTATCCCAGCCTCCACGCACGCCACCTGTCAGACAGATGTTGGTTTCAATTAAGTAAAGAACAAAATAAAAACCTGCATTTGTGCTTATGTTAAGCCATCTTAATCTTTGAGTGCATGGCGCTTAATGTAGGAATACGGCAGATGGATTTAGGT